CTCAGCCTTTGTTTTCAGTAACCTGAAAATTCTGATTCACAGTTCTTGACACTGAGTTACAACGGGCTGAAAGGACTTGACGTGCTGCGGCACTGCAACTGCAGAGCCCACAAGGAACAGGAGGGGGACACAGTCAGCGAAAAATGAACTTTTAGGTCAGGGGTTTGTGAACTCTGGTCACCAAAGACCTTGTTTATTCTTACGGGACTAGTTCCCATACCACTTTTGCCTTCAGATTACACTGCCATCTAAGTGCCTAATTATGGACTACAGACTGGTTCCATTACATTTCTTCTCCTCCTAGCCTTGTCACTCTTGGACTTGCACTGATCTAGTTGCAAAAGAGAGATGGACTTTGTTTCCTTCCCACCTATGTTTGTGGCCTAATGACTTATGGTCATTTAAACTGTTGACTTTTTTTTTTTTTTTCCCAGCTGAGAAGGGAATTAAAGTGGTGTCTTATTTCCAGAGCAAGAGCCCCAACCTCTGGGCTGTTACTCAACCTTGTGCACTTTGAAATGAAAGTGGCCCTGGCTGCTGCTCTCTAGGTGGGAAGGAGGCACGGAGCTGCTCAGATCAGCAAGGTGGCTGCATTTCTGGACAAGGGTGGGAACAGAAGTTTGGATACAAATGATGCTCATGTGCCCATAAACTCAAGCACATAAACAAGCTTCTTATGATTGGTCTCTTGGGCTGAGGCATCACAATTTCTCTCAGGGTTTGCTTCAGGCATGTAGAGCTTTTTGTTGGACTTTTCCCACTGAGGTTGTCCTGCCTCCCAAGTAGTGAAACTGAGAGTTCTCTCTGCCACCAGAAGCAGAACTGGTAGTTCTGGTCTCAGCTGTAACAACTTTTTTCCTGGTGTCCTCTACTGCATGCCAAAGCTCAAGGCTAGATGCCTGGTCTGGTGTGACCACCTGATGAAAGAGGTGCTGGTAGCAGCTCTTTCCACATTTCCCACCTCCAGATTTGAAGACTTCTCAGCAACAGATGTAAACATTGATTTTCCCTGGAAGAATCTCTAGAAAGAAGGAGACAGAGAGGCTTTTTGTCCCTGAAAGGACAAACCTGAAAGTGACCTAAGGGAATGGAAAGCAATTGCAAAGGTAGTAGCTCCTCCTTGGCATGGATTTCTGGTATAAGAAGCTTCCTTGGATCCTCTAAATGCTGGAGTTTGGGCTCTCATGCCTTTGTGTCCTCAATCTTTGCAGACAAACAAGAACAGGAACTTTCAAATAAGAATTTGTTAAGTTTCTTATTCTTTCTAGATCTGTGGCAATGTATATCAAGCTTCATGCAAGATAAAATTCGATTTTATCTTATGGTCAGTAGGCAAAAGTATTTTTAAGGGTATATGATGAGACTGTTGTGGTGTGGGTACTAGCAGGTTTACAGTTCTTAAACATTTGCAAGGAAAACCTAAAGGAGGACTTCAGTGAGAAATATGAAATTGATTTGGCATTCCCTGTGTCCTCAGATTCTCCTACATATGTTCTATACTTACTGTCACAGATTCATCCCACAAGGACAAAAAACCAAAAAATAAGGTGGAAACTATGGAAGTAGAAAGAACATTATCATTGCACAAAAGTGACCAGGAGAAGAGAAAAAACCCCAACAAAACCCTCTTCCTTTCAATTAGTGCTTCTTTAGAGATGCTGCTGTAGAAGTAAAACACTTTTAACATAAATTTAGTAATTTCCAATATCCCTTGAAGGTCTTTTTCCACTATCTTTAAAGTTAAGAAGTAAATTAAAGACTTATACTTGTCACGAGCTGCCATTTGTCTTGAGCTCATTTGTCACAAACAGGCTGAAGCTCCGTCAAACGCTGTTCCAGTGTGGCTACGCACTGAGCTGCAAAAGCCTCTTAATCAGCCAGGAAAGATGGGCAGTCCTGGCAGGTCACTGAAGCCAATTTTTGAAGAGTGTTCAGCCTGCTTCTCTGGCACAGCTCACGACATGACACCACCCCTGCGACTGGAAGACACATCTCCCTGTTTCTATCTCTGTTAGTTCCCTAAGGGTTGCACTCATCATCAAAACATCATTCATCAGAAGTTGGCCACATCCTCAAAACACCAAATTTCTCACTGGTAAAAAAGGAAATGAAATACTGGTGGAATTTACCCTTTTTTTTTTTTTTTTTTTTTTAAAGAAAACAAAAGCGTACACAAAGCAGGAGCTAGCTGGGACTTAGCTAACAAGGCCCTTTCCCAGGTTCCTGTACTGCCACACATTTTGCTCCTGGTGCAATGTACAGCTGCAGGCTCTACACATCACTGAACACAATGTGCTGGCCAGCTTTTGCCAGCGGGGAGTCTGATTCACATGCTTAGAAACAGAAAGAAATATTTCCCTTTCCTAACTACCGTAATAGATTTTCCTGATTTAGGAAACAAAGAGAAAATAAGCTCTGCAAATGTTACAAGCAAATACTGACCGCTTCCGCTTTGAATTCCCGTTGTCATTTAGCCCAAGTGCTGCTTTCCTTTTCTCATGAATCCTTCTGGTGGCAAACACGCACTTACCATATCCACAAGGTAATCTCAGACAGGAAACTGCCAACCTCAAGGCTCTCGTCTATACCAGCAGTGCTTCAGGTTTGTTCTGCAGTGGGACACAAAGAGACCTGATGCCACAAGAGATGAGACCTTTGGTCCCATGGCAGGGGATCCCTGTGGATCAGCTGGGAGGTATGTGAGCTACCTGGGGGTCGAAGTGTGCACAGCCTGCTGTGTTACCTGATACACCACATGCTGCTGATCAACACATCAGATCTACCCAGCTTTGCAAGAGAGAGACAGCAGGGGTGGAAGTTTGTGGCTTAACTGCAAACATCTGTAAAGGGGGTATTTCACCAGCACGGGATACAACTGAACAGGTCTGTGACAACACAATGAGGACACAGCACTGCTTGCCAGCTGTCTTGGGAAGAAAGTTTGTGTCTGTAATTGCTACTGTGGGTAACATGCAGTATGAAGGAAGAGCTCTCAAGTGAACAATGTTTTGCAATTTACAGCTCCACCAAGGACAGCAATGCTCAGTTTTGCATGAACACCAATCATTTCAAACAAGCCATGTCACTAAGGAATCAAGGCTTGCATCAGAACATTTTGGACATCCCCCTTTCCCCTACAGCTGTGCTGCCTGTAGGAAGAAAGCATAAACCTGCAAGAAGGCTGCTGTGCAAACCCTCTCGAGGCCTTGAGAGCAGCCGTGTGGAAGTGGCTCAACTCACCATCTCAGTAGCCAGAGGCTGTGCCGAGGAGAGATGCAGCAAGTCTGGCATATTCTGGGCATGTTGGGACTTGCATGCGAGTCCAGACTGAATGGGTCTGTGCAGTGGCCCTTTGCCCACAAGTTCCTGTCCTCTGCTGTGATCCCCCAGTGGTGCTTGTAGCCAAATTTGCAGTGCAGGCTCTACTAATAAAATATTTGTGAACCTGCTCAGTGTTGTGTTTACCTTGTGATGATCTGCGTGTTGTTGCTGACTGAAAGCAGCAGGTTGTGTTCCTGCAGCCGCTCTCACAGCTGCTGCCACATCAGGGGAGGAAGTGAGAGATGCTGCTGGCTTGTGGGACCAGCTCTGCTGATAGCCTGTTGTCTCTCTTATGCATGCAGATTACTCTATTGCATCCCTGACTTGTTGATAAGGATTCAAGGGATGCCACGCAGCTCCTCGAGGAAGCCAGAGAACACGTCACTGAAGATGACTTTAAGTTAACTGAGATGTTCTTTTCATTTGTTCAGTGAAGAAATAACAAAAAAGACAAAATATAACAACTAGAAAAATCTCAAATGAAAAAAATGCTGGACCTGTGGATGAAGATCATCCTTTGAGCAATACACACAAGATACTGCCGTCAGGCTGTCTGCAGGTCTAAAACCTGATTTGAATCCTGCTTTTCCACTGTCATCAATCAGCTGGAGGAATGAATCAGCTAGTGACCGAACCAAGGACCAGACTGTGAAAGGATTTTAGATGCCTGCACATTCACAGGCATCCATCAGGACTTTAAATGTTCCCGTGCAGTAGAGACCACTTTCACTGAGCTGCCAAACAGCTTTACGATTATGGTCATGAGTGATCCTAAAGCCATAGGCAGTGCTACAGGAACTGAGTTGTAAAAGATTAACATTTAAAATATGTTTTCTCTGATCCCAGAAACAGCAAGGAAAGTGTCAAATCAGGAAAGCCAGAGGAATCCCAGACAGCAAAGGAATCTGCATGGTACAGAGGGAAGTGCTACTGCTCTGTCAAGCAGGAACATACAGTTTGCTGTTCTACTCTCCTATTTACCTCAAATTTGAGGGCAAATTTGCTTATTATAAGCATTGTTAAATCAAATGTGTAATTCCAGAGAGAAGAACTTGGTCTACTTTCAGTGAAAATTTTTTATTTGAGAGGTTTCTGAATTCCTAGATTCATTTTCAGGTTTTGCCAGTCCATCAATGACAGTTCTGCCACAATAATGTTTCTCTCACTTCCCACAGTTACAGGTGCTCTGTAACTGGCAAGTTACATCTTTAAGCCATCTTGTGTGTGTTTTAACATGAAAAGTGAAAGAGTAGTAATTTACTTCACAGTGGTTGCTTTGAATGACTTAAGCATCCCAATCAAGGATATACAAAAAGCATGTTGCATTTAATTGCCTGCAAGGTCTGAATTGTCTTTTTTTTTTTTTTTCCTGGGGTAGCTGGGGGGAGATAAACCGTGTGGGGCTTTCGGTAGCTGCGTCTCCTGAATCGCTCCTCGGAAGTGCGGGTCTATCCATGGACTCTAGAGGGAAGCAAAGACAAGCTGGCTTCTAAGTCAGCTCTCTCCCTTGGATGCCTGTGATTAGGTGGGACGGAACGGGCCCTGCCGCCCGTTCTGTTTAAAGGACGCAGGAATTCTGCCCTCCCGGGAGTGTCCTAAATTAAATATCTGGCAACATAACGGGGGTGAGTATTTAAAAAACGTTAAAGGCACTCACAAACACAAAATCCAGCAAAGGCTGCTCTGAAATGCTTCACGTTTATTTTCCCAAATCCAGGACCGCCCCCTCCTGGCGGTCCGGGCGAGCCGGCGGGTCCGGGTCCGGGTCCGGGACGGAGCTATCCCGGCTCAGCTCCGGGCCGTTCCTGCCTTCCCGAGATGTACCGAAGGCTGAGCCTTCCCTGTCGAGCACAGAATCTCCATGGCTCCTCTTACAAACATATCGGGTTTTAAAATGAAATGCCCGAAGCGGCAGAAACACAGCGCGAGTGACAAAATAAATTGTTTAATCTCCCTGCTTGGTAGCAGATGAACGGTAAATCAGATTTTATCTCTTCTTAGTGAAGTGGAAATTATGGAGATGAACAAACTCCTAAAAATAACAGAATAGCTAAAATATCTGCTTTTTCTAGAGCAAATGTAGCCCTTTGGGAAAGTGCAAAAAATACCATCTGTGTTTCCAAAACCCTGAAGTTAATTTGTTGCAGATATCTCTTTATTTACTGAAAATGGACATATTTTGTGTGGCAGAACAACATGTTGCAATGATGAAAAATAACCCGAATAACTCCCATCCAATTAACTCCAAAGGGGGTTTTACCTGAAAAAGCTCCATTTAAAGGTCACTTTTTGTTTAAATCAGCCATCAAGCCTATCTGTTGGGGGTTTTAAGTTAGTTTCATACACATATCGACAGCTGTTCACAGAGGAAGCTGAGAGGGGAAACTGTGAAGTAGTTGTGACATGTATGGCAGATTATCTTTTTCTGATTATCAGACAAGAAGTGTAATTTACAAACAGCTAACACCTTGGTGAGAGGTTTCTTCAGAACGGACAACTCTCCAGGCTTTCCTGACAGCCTGTTCTTTTCATGGTCCCTGGTAAGCACTCCCATTCCTGTAGTTCATGTTCAGTGTAAGGCAGAATTTAGAAAATAAGCTTTTTCATACAAATGTTTAACTGGAAATTAAAAATAATTCAGAACATAATTCTGAGATGATGAAAATGAGTATTTGCTTTAATACAGCCTATCTGATGGAAAGCCAAGGGAATCCAGTATGGTACTTCAGCTGACAGCAGCTAAACATCTTTGTTTTAAACGGTGGCTGGAATTGAGCCATGAAATACAGCTGGAAATGTGGATCTGAATTTCCCCAAGTTCAGTGTGTAGTTTGGGTTCATTACAAAGATAAGTTTGGAACCAGATTTTAATCTTTTTTGAAGCATAGCAGGTCCCCAAATGTTACCCTGTGAAATTCAGAAAGGGAGGCAGCACATACAAGGCTGACACACCACGGTGCTGTTGTTTTATATTTGGTGCAAAGACTTAGTATGTCTGTTTTTTCTTGTACGGCTTGAACATTTTAGAGCTCATCCAGACATCAACTGCTCCTGTGGCAGCAAAAATCCCCTTGAAGAGTAGTTATTTTGTTTTTTCCCCAGACAACTGGGTATTGAGAATGCAGAAAGTGACGCAACACAAAGAAGTGAGCCCTGGAAGGCAGTGCCGTGGCAGAGGGGATGACAAGCTGGGCACTGTCACTGCTGAGACGAGTTCAGTGCAGAAAAATGTTTCTGGAATGCATATTTGATTCCTTGTCCCTGGCTCATTGTTTGGGAGCTTAGATCAATACTGCTGCAGCAAAGACTCCCAATAAACTGGAACAAAACAAAACATGCATTCACATTGCCATTCAAGAGCACGCATTTTCCAGTTAAAGTGAAGGTCAGTCATAAATTACATCTCTAATTCCCTCAGGATTTCTCTCTCTTGCTCTGTTTTGGCAGTTTAGGACCCCTTTGATATTTGAGCAAGGCCTTTCCCTTTGCACATCTGATCCTGATTACGGTTTATGGCAATGGTAATTCTTTACCTCCCCAAGGCAGCAATTTTAAGAAGCAAGTACAGTATGATTGTTTAGGAGAGAGGCACACTCACAGCGTATTAACCATTTCTCCATAGTTGTGTCTCTTCCCCATGGATTGCCCTTGCACACAGCAACACTGAGCTCTTCTCATGGGAAGAAGAGCTTCCCATGGAATGCCCTAAGGTACATCAGAGAAATCACTGTGTCTGGTGGCACAAAAAATTAGGTTGTTATTTACCTATCAAAGCAGTGACCTCTGAACAATAAAGCTGTGGCTTGGATAGGTTTTTGGATTCTGTTTCCTGGTGAACACAGAGTAATAAGGAATCCATAAGCACCAAAGCTTTTCTTCTGTCTCTGAAGTGCAGCACCAGGTCTCAGAGGTTTGCCCTCCCTGCGCCTCTCCTGCCTTACAAAATGAAGAGGAATGTTCTTGCTCAGTTCCTGGAATGCAAGTCTGTAAAAAGAGGGTGTATTGCCACATAGATCAACTTTGTGCCAGTCAGAATTGCCAGTCTGATAAGCCAAAAATACACTGAGGCTTTGCACGAGGGAATGGGATGGATGGAACTGGGATGTGCACTGCTTTTCTATGTATGCAAAAGACACAGGCAAACGCGTCCAGCTGAGAGTGTATCAGGAGCATTTGAGACACTGTGAAGGTGGCAAAAAATGTTGGATGCAGATATGCTTTTTCCTAGGGTGGTATAAGGCATTTTGTTACAGGCAATTACAACTGCAGTAAGATTTTTCGTGTCAGTTGGTAACATACACTTCATTCTTCTAATGCTTTCGATTCTCTGGCAGCTTTCAATTCTACTGGCAGCTCCTTGGGTTCCCTGAGAATCTTCACGGACATTGCAAGGTGAAGGGCTATTGAACATGAATAACTGCTCTTCAAACTCTGGCTTCAATCTTCTCCCAAACAAAAAATGTTCTTACAGACTTCAGTGGTGATGGCAAAAAGATTTAATTGCCCTTCAGGCATTACAGATCTCATCCTGTTAGCAAAGACTAGTGTTGGGGTTTTTTGCGTGTTTTTGTTTTGTTTTGGGTTTTTTGTGTGTTGTTTTATTTTGTTTTGTTTTTTCCATAAAGGTGACCACAAACATCGCACTGGGAAATGCAGGCTGCTGGCAACTTCTGCCAGTTTGGTGTTTGATTCTGGTGCCTGGCAGAAATACAACTGAATTGGCAGAATTACCAATGGTATTTTATTTTTTTGTTTGCTTGCATAAGACATTTTTAAAAGCTGTCTTTTCTGATATGTCTGTGCATTCTAAATGCATTTTAAACAGGTCTTGCAGAGTGCAGCAGGAAAGGCCTTCCCAGGAAGTACGTATGGCATGTATTTTGCCAGGAAGATACTAAGGAGATGTGATAAACAAAGGATATTCAGAACATTTTCCCTGGAAGAAGGAAATTTCCTAACTCCTCATACGTAAGCCTTTCATAAAAGTAATGCAAAACTTCCACAGAGCAGGAGAGGAACAAAGCAGTACCAGTTCTCACTGTTCCAGTGACACAGCAAACCTGCTTGAAGAGCATTTTATAAACCAAAATTTCCACTAAGTTAACGCTAAGGAGGGTTCAACATGGGATTTTTCCCCTTCCTCTATTACTTTAGATAGACTTTCAATATTAACTCAGAACATACAACTTGTGAAGAATACCACATGAAGGGAGAAAGTCTTTATTGCATATTCCTGCTCATTTTCACCTGTGTGAAAGGTTGAAGAGCTGGGGGCCGTCCACCCTGCCTGGTGGCTGCGTGGGGAGCACGTGAGCCAGCGGGGAGGCCCAGCCCTGCGCTGCCAGCAGCTGGGTGGGTGCCCAGCCTCCAGAGGGGAGCACTGTATTAGGAGAGCTCTCCTTCACTGGGCTGCTCTCTCATAAATCAGCCTAATTATTCTAATGAAGAGAGCTGCATCCCGCTGCTGCGAGCCCTGCTGGTTTACGGGGAGGGGGAAGTAAATAAAAAGGAACAATGTTGGCTGCTGCTGTGGGAGGGACACAGGGAGGGAGAACAATAGTCTTGACTCTCTTCCCTGCCACCACCCCTTCAGGAGGGAAGAAGAGGGATGGCTTCGTGCACGCCCCTGGAGTTATTCCAGGTCAGAACTGAAATCAGATGCGGGGCTCGCAGCACCCGCTGAAGGAAAAAGCAAGTAAACCAGAGGGCAAAGGTGTGTTGTTTTCCAGGCTTGGAGAGAATGTTGCTGAGGAAAGGAAAGTACGGGATACATGGCTTTGTAGTGTCTGTCTGAGCAACCAACGCACTACAAATACTGACCTGAGCTTTAAGAGCAGCATCAAATCTTTATGCCTTTGGGGTTTCTTTTTAGCCTAAAGGTAGATTTTACTTTCTGAGTTAAAACTTTACAAATTTGTCTCTTAAAAGATGTATTTTGGTTCCTCTTCTTGCTTTGTATAAGTTTGGCTTTGCAACCACAAAAATTAGAAACTTGTTTTTGTGTAATGAAATGTTATTTACTACATGAATCTGGGAGCTGAAGCTTTAAGAAAACCACAAACTACTAGGAGATTTATGATAAAAATATGACAGCCTAAATTATGTGCAGTGCTACTCATTGTTTTCTATATTTCTGCCATGTTTCCTCTTATTGTCCTCTCTCTGTGATGACTGAAACAAATCATTCAAGTCTAGATTGCATATTATGATACCCACAAAGCCTCCTTGCTATTGTTTGAGCCAAATTAAAAGCGTTTGTTAAAAATAATTGTGAAATGGCATAAAAAAATCTCTTCATTTTGCTGAGAATTTCATTATTTCTATTGTGATAAATTATTCATGTTAGATATTAAATCGGTATGTTTTAACAAAAAAAAAATCTGAAAAATTAGACAATTCTGGCAGTTCTGACATTTTCCTCTCAGGAAAATTCCTCTGGATGTTGTCAGCTGCTTATCCTCTCTTGTTAGTTTTCCTAAAATGTCTTCACTCTGCCCTTTATACAGCATATTTACTTCTATCTTTAGCTTCAGACTGATAAATTGCTCTGTTTCTGAATCCCATCTTCAGTCTCCAGCTAAATGGTGTGATCATATTTTTGGTCCTTCAGACTCCAAAGCTCTGCCAGTACTACAAAACCCTTCTGGTTCAGTCATCCTCCCATTCACCTTTCCTGTACTCATTTGCAGGAGCTGAGTATACTGTGATGTTAGAAGATCCCCCAGACCCTCTTTCAGCTCTGAAATTACTTATTCCTCTAATGTTCCTGATTCTGGGAGGCATCATGGCAGGCTGATACTCCTCCTGGCAGACAAGCCATGTACTGCTGCTGCATGCACTCTCTCCCAGGAGTCAGCAGCCCTCCCTCCCCTGCCATCCCACAGGGCTTCCAGCTCCTGCTGGCCTGGAAGCTCCAGAACTCAGTTTCCAAACCAGACCTTGCTCCTTGATTCCTGCAGATCATGTTGGGGCTGGACCAGAAGGAGCTTCCTTGACAGTTCTGACTAATACACAGTGACTACAGAAAGCTGAGTGAAGTTGGTAAGGACAGTAAGAGAGGAATTTAAATATACACATAGAGAAAGCAAGTTCTGTCCTACAGCATCTACAGCCACAGATTACAAATGCCTTTCTTAAAGCCATCATAATTGCACCTGACTTGACTGAAGTGTAAAATGGTGTGAAATCTTCAATATGACCAGCTTCTGACATCGAAAAAGACGTGTGAGGCCAAGCACAAAGTGTGAGACCATTGTTAAGTCATGAAAAAGATCTAGAATTATTTATATTTGCATTTCTCAGCCTTTTTACTTGCTTTTGTGCTTTCAGTCTTTTCCTTACAAGAAATAGAAAAGTAGCTGCAAAGGGTGGGGAAGGAGGACGAAGAAAATGCCTTGACTGCAGGAGCCAGGCTATTGAGAAACACACCAAGAATCAGTGAATATTAAAATCCAGAGCAATAGCAAGCAGAGCACAAGACCCACAAACTTTCAGTGAGGCTTGTGGTATAAAATCCATGGGCACTTGCTAATTCTTAGTATTATCTCAAAATGCATTTCAGAATTTTAAAATTAGTTTTGTTACTTTTTTTGCTCCCATAAAAACAGAGCTGAAGTTTACACTCAAAGTCCATAACACTGCATTACTTTGTTTAGTTTTAGGGGCTTTGTGCTCTTGCAAATGAGATTATTTTAATTACAAATTACATCATAACTTTCTGATGTAACACTCCCAGTGTAGCATCAAGTGGCTCCAGCAGCACACCCACCCACACACATATATTTATTTCAGTTACATTTCACACAGAGTGGAAACAGAGAAGAGGCTTCCCAGTCCTCCTGAGTGCCTCAAGATGAGCCCACCTGGGGCATTTTGTTATGGTGGACATTATCTTCATTTATTTCATCACCTGCTGTCTCCCAGCACCCACAAGATGTACCCTTGTTCCACAGTCCTTGCAAAACCAACTAGCTTGCTCATGTACTGCGGGAATGATGGGCTTGAGAAATGGAGGCTGGGCTGTGCTCTGAGCATCCAGGCTGTAAACAGGTACCACACTTAAAATCTCCCCTGGATGAGATTATTCAGGAAATGATTCAAGGCAAATGACCTTGAATCCTGTGCTCAGTTCTGGGCCTCTCTCTACAAGAAAGACATTGAGGTGCTGGAGTGTGTTCAGAGAAGGGCAGCAAAGATGGTGAAGGGTCTGGAGCACAAGGCTGATGAGGAGCAGCTGAAGGAGCTGGGGGTGCTTAGCCTGGAGAAAAGGAGGCTCAGGAGAGACCTAACTGCTCTCCACAAAGCCTGACAGGATGGTGTAGCAAGGTGGGGGAGGTCTTTTGTCCCAAGTGACAAGTGACAGTGAAAGAAGCCTCAAGTTGTGCCAGGGGAGGTGTAGGTTAGGGATTAAAAAACATTTCATCACTCAAAGGGTGGTCAGGCATTAGAATGGCCAGCCCAGGGAAGTAGTTAAGTCATCAACCCTACAGGTATTTAAAAGATGTGTAGATGTGGCTCCTGGGGACATCGTTTAGGGGTGGACTTGGCAGTGCTGGCCATGATAATCTTGGACGTTCTTTCCAACTTGAATGATTCTATGGTTTTTGCTACCTCTTTAAAACATTTGGCTGTGCTGTTCCACCAAAGAACCAAATGCAGAGGTTATTTAAAAGAAAAATGTTCATGTAAGGCAATATGGGATGACTAAGTCCACAAGTCAAGAGACACTTCACTGTGTTTGTTTGCTTCTGACTTTGCCAACACCTGAAACTATAAAATACATTATCAGTTAATCTAAGTTAAAAGGTCATCTTAATGTCTGAGAACAAAGCTTTACTCCAGCTACACCAGTGGTATAACAGGTAGTGTAATAATACATGGCATACCAAGCCAGTGAAAAGGTCTTTTAACTAACAGTTATAGACAAATGTCATACCTATATAAGCAGTAATTTGTACAGCTTTACTAGGCTTATCTAAAATAATTAAAAAAAAAAGATTTTGGACTAACAGGTCTGAGACCAAAAATCCATGTTTTTGAGAAGCAGTACTTGCAACCAAGAAATTGCACATAGGAGTGAAGTTACTGAAAGACTAACTGGTCTGCAACAACAAGCAAACACAGCATTTTGTTGTTTGTCCTTTCCCTTCAGTGGCTGCTGGCTTTTAGAATTTGCATTATGAAAATTTTTCTGAAGGAAAAAATAATGCTCCCATGGGGCAGCTTTAGCTGCCTCCCATGTGGAATTGGCTTTTCTTGCAGCAAATTACCCCACTTATTATTCTTTATACCTTTAAAGAGGAAAATTCTTTTCCTACTCAGCCCAGTAATGATGTAGGAGGGAATGACTCAAAAAAAAAAAAAAAAAAAAAAAAAAGAGCCCTCTCCCGTTGCTACTCTTGAAGGAACCCCACTTGATTCAGCAATTTTGTCCTTTTGTGCTTTTCCTCCTCTTTGATGGAGGCCAGTAATGCCCTGCCCAGGGTTGTTTGACTACATTATCAGAAATCTGCTCTTTGATTATCAGAAATGAAATTATGCACTCTAATAAAAGAAAACAGAATTTGTCTGATCTAGAGGAGCCAGTTTGTCACCAAGACTTTGCTATCAGTAAATAAAAACAGAAACCTTTATGCAAACCAGGACTTCAGGCAGTGTGAAAATAACTGAGCTACTGTCCTCTTTCAGAAACTGTTTGCATTCAGTCACCTCAGACAGTAGGAAAACCAATTGTTCCTTAAAACATTTTAAAGCTCTGTGCAGACACTGTTGGTACCCAGAGATTTCACAGCATGCAGACTTTTAATTGCCTCTCCTTCCTCTCTGCACTCGAAGGCATCTGCAATGTTTATCTCTAGTGCATCTTACTGGGGAATAGACTGCTTTGTAAAACAGAGCAGGATTGCAGAGTACATTGCTGAATCCATACGATGACTTGACATAACTTTTTAAAAGCAGCCTTACTGTGAGCACACTCCACTGCCTCTTAGCACACGTTTATTATTTTGCAACAGAGGTCACACTCAGAGCTTTGAAGAAGACATAGCTGACCTACAACGGCTTTCTCAATGAGATCATTATATGCAATGTCCAGCACCACATTCCTTCTCCACTTTTTAGTTTCAAGTTATAATCTTTTCTCAAATACAGAGCAAACATTTCTGTAACAAACTCATGTCACTCTGAACACAGCCTTTGTACCAATTAAACTACAGCATCCCATATAAACCTTCCTTATCTGCAGACAACTATAAGCAAAGTCTGTGTTCTCTGGGATAAAAATATTCTTATTGACAAACAAAATAAAACTTCTCTTCTTTAGTTTCCACAGCATATCAGGAACATGACGCTCCCATCCATCACTTCAACCTACAAGCCTTTTTAGGACAGGATTTTGATAGGATGAAACTCAGATCAGGTGGTTTCTCTACAATATAATATTCTCACACGGTCCAAACATAACTTTTAGGGCACTTTCAAAGAGAATGAAATCTGTTTATCTTTGCAAACAATTTCCCAAGTGTGGCAGAACATGTCTGGACAATATGAAGATACTGAAACTATTTCTGACCCACAACATGTCAGAAGAGCACCGTGTTTCTCATCAGCAGGTTGGGATAATTAAAAACACAGTAAGTAAGGGGCTAGGAAACAGAGGCAAATAGTTGCAGGAGGTAGATGAGGATGGGGCTACAAATGATGGCTTATGTAGTTGCAAGACTGTGGAGGCTACTGAAAGCAGAGGGTACACAACCTTATGCAAGTTGGTAATGTCCAGCCTGTTTAAATTCTCTTTTGTAATGGTAGACAGTATTGAAATATTAGGCAGCTTTTTACCAAGAACTCTCTATACTTATTAAAAAGTTTAGTATATTTATGTACACATTTTAATCTAAATATATTTTATTGTGATATGTGAAATAAAATTCTGCTGTCAGGTGTCACCTCTCCTAGATTAAAGTAGTTTTTAAGCCAAATTCATACAGCCAGCTTCTTTTTACTACAGGAGAGCCCTATCCATGCAGATCTCTGGAGTTCCTCACTTGCCATGCTACTTCAATTCCATTAACCCAAAACCGAGCTGTGGTGGCACATGGTTGCCTGACAGCCTGTTGCTGTAATGTGGTCTGTAAGCTGTTATGGATGGACTAGAATTCAGACATCCCACTATATTTAAACACCAAGGAGTCTCCATGTCTTAGAAAACCTGGTGGTCTTATATAAGGTAATAAGAAGCCTCATAAAACAGCAGGGTCTATAAAAACAGGCTATCTGAAAAAGGTTAGGCTTGTGAAATGTAATTAATTACCAACTATCATTGAAAGTTCTTTCTGTTCCTGTGACCTCCTGCACTCAGGTCCCAAACACATATGAGAAGGGACTTGGAGAGAATGTGAGAATGGCCACTGGAGCTGGGATGCTTTGTCATGCAGAATGCACCCATGGAGAAAGGAGTAACACTTCTAAACAACGTCATGATGCTGCATGCAATGTGGAGTGAGCAACAGCAAAAGAATATGCATCTCATCAGTTATAGCCATCCCTTCCCCCAACACACAGGTTGGGAATGCATAATCCCACTGGTTTATGACAAAACACCAAACAGGACATGACTCCCTGGGAAGCAGTCCAAGTCAGAGCATTCAGTTGAGGCTGAAAAAGCAAAGTCTCCATTCCCAGATCTGTCCCTGATTTGAGGCAGATTACTACTGCTTGTCACTGTCTATCAAGGGGGATAAAGATATTAACATTCTCTGTAGGGTATTCTCTGATCTGTTCATGGAAGCCTTTGTTTATATCCTACATAAATATATATATATATATATTTATATATGCATCATTTTAAAACTGCTAAAAACAAAATCATGGCATAAACCCAAATCTTGTTTCAATTAAATTGCTGCTGTACAGGTAGTTTCCATCTGACATTCCCAAAGAAAACATATTCACATGCACAACATGAATGTGTATGGCAGAGTGCCGGGGAGGCCTCAGTGAAATACTGCATTAAAAAACAAACAAACAAAAAACCAAAAGTACATTCCAAACTGAGCAAGCAACACTTCTTGCAAATCATTTCAGCTACTAAGGGGAGCCACAAAATTTGCAACTTGACTGAAGGATTAGACTGCGTTTGACCAGGATCTTGGTGTACAACATGGTGAATACAAACCATTTACAAGTTTGTGGGCTTCAGTGGAACTTGGGCATCTGTATTTTTGGTCATAGGTATTTGAACAACTTGAATCTAAAGCAACACTTCAGGCTTCAGAGAAAAAAAACACTAAAGGGAACAGGATTTAAAATCAATATCCTTCTCATGGAGTCACATCTCATATTGCATGTCACTAAAACACAGAATTCCCAGAGTTCAAGAACAGGAAGAGGTTACACTTTTCTAACAAGCCCAGTGACTCTGGAGTGTACCAGATTTCGTGTGTCCCACATGGTCAACTCTTTTTTTTCAGGGCAAAACATCCCTTGCTGAGCCCAGTTCTGCAGCAGCTACACTGCTTCCAGTCATTCCTGAGCTTCTGCATTTAAAGATAACCTGGTTGTGATCAGCTATCGCATTCCTTGACTGAAGCACGGACTGGGTTTTCTTTCTTGCAGCTTGCTTCAGTGCACCTTGCAACACTAAAATATGACCTTCCTAAGCAGTTTGTTTGAATTGTCTCACATGCACCACACCATGAACCAGGCTAACAAAGATGCTTCTGTTTCCACAGATGGGTGGTCTCTACTAAAAAGGCAGCTCCTCTTTTGCCTCACACCCCCCTGGGAAGAAGTATCCATTCCCTTCATCCTAGCAACAATACTTGAAGAAGGACCAGTATGTAATAAAAAGTACCCTGGGTTCATCAGTTCTAGCAAATAATTCCATTTACTATCAGGCTACAAGAAACACAAATGTCAAACAGGATTTCTGTTATTGAACAGCTGCATAAGCATATGAAGAATTACTGTTAGTTTTTTTTGTTTTCAAACACCTGATAGAGCATAATTCAGCCCTTAATACTAACTATATTAAAAAACAATTTACTGCATGAGTCCAACAGTCATGCTGATATTCAACTCAAAGTGTTCTTACTGTATAAGGAAAAAGAGGCTTTAAAAAAATTCAAGCTTGCAGAATATGAGAAGGATTTTGTATTTGGAACTGACAGACATGCCTGATCAGAATGGGTTTCCAAGCTGTTATCAACTTGTTAATAACCATATAACAACAAAAAAGAATACTACAGATAATACTTTGATCTACTTCTGAACACAGGGAGGGAGATTTGAAAGCCTTTAAGAAAGAAATATGGTATTTTTTTACTAAGTTCAACTAAATCAATTATATGAAGTGGTTTTAAAAAAGAAATGAAGTTACAAATCTGTCATGGACTATGATGTAAATAATTTTCTAGAAGCGTTCCCATATTATACCAGAAATCAATGGAAAACTTCAAGTGCATTACAGGAGCTCTCACTGAAGCAGGAGAATCTATGTATATGAAGCTCAAAAAATAACACCTATGAAGATTTAACTTTAAAATGCTTTGTGACCTGTCTATTAGGTATCATAATCTTATACATTTTTCCAAGTAAGTGTTGAACACTTGTTCATCCTCCTTCTTACTCTGTTTTACAGTCTCTACCTAACACTCCTGTGGTCTTGATTTGGGCTGGGCAGGAAGCTGTGTGTCTACCTCATAAAAGACAATAAATGAGAACACTCAACCCTGTTCTAAGTCCTTCAGAGCCAAGAACACGTACTCTACACAGGAGTGTTGGTGAGGAGAGGAGAAGCCATCCCATGGAACCTCACAGGCCCAAAAGTGAGGTGTGAGAGAACCTGAAGCTCCCATCACAATCAGACAACTCATGATCAATCTTGCTGCGACGGGAAGACTGACAGGACTTTTATCAAATGCCTTTTCTTGAACGTGATCTCTGTCTACAGGTGTCACCTAATACAGATAAATTCTATTCCAAAAGTTAAATTTTCCCATTTATGATGTTCAAATGAAGCATACTTGCAAATATTACCAGCTTCGAATCATGTAGCAAACAACAGGTTTGCTACAATCAAAATGCTAAGATTTTACACCATTATTTTCAATGCTGCTGCTAAGATATCCAAGGTCGTAATAAAATTTACTGATTTTCTGTAGTAGTTACTGCAGCATATCCATAGTCTTGCACAAATAGACAGAAACCCCAGATTGTTCCACCCCACAAGATCTCGTTAAACTACTTTTGAAACCACTACAAAATAGAAGTGTTCTAGTAGCCTCACTTCTACTAACACCATATTTTTGTATAATCAAATTATAACACTGAACCACTCTTCACATAAATCCCACAGGCTAAAGCCATGAGTGACCAAATAAGATATAGCTCCCTTTTCTGCAAGCCAGAACCTCTCCATGTTTTATTAGCAACATGCAAGTAGATGGATTTTACAGCTAAATGGTGAACAAAACTTCATCTGAAAGCCAACTTAGGCAGACCACAATCAAGGACTACTCCAGGGCAACAAATTAAAGACAGATTTATAAGCAGTTAAGGGACAAAGAACAAAAAAACTCCACTCCCAGTTTAAAGAAGACATGGAAGAGACACCCAAGAAGCAGACACGGTACCTGACTCCCCACCAGTAATAAAATAGACACTGACAAAGCAATTGGTGCACAAACTAAACCAAAGGCTAGTCTGTCCTTCCCCCAGGAGGAAAAAAGAAAATATTTATATCTGTATTTAAAAACACACACATAGATTAAAAGTGAAGCTAAAAAAGCACTCTAATTTTAGTAAAACTTGCCTATCCACACATCAAAAAAACCCAGCAATACACAGACAAACAAATCAACATTAAAGCATCTATTGATACTTCTTCACTCACTAGTGAATAGAAGGAAAATACATAAATTAACTGTTTTGTCTACTTGCATTAAAATGCAGGAGCCTGGGATCTACTCAGATTTAAGGCAACTGACACAAGCTATACCTTCTCATTCAAATTTCTCCTAACAAGCAAAATCAAAGGAGTCATAGATACTGGTCTTCTGCGTAAGACTCATCTGTATGAGTTAACTGTAGCCATTTGATGCTCTTGCTAACAATCTTCTGAATGTTCCTATTCCAGAATTACAAGTACCTTGTTCAAATTTAGCTTAATCCACTTAACCCATGTGGAGTGGGACACACTTCTACAAGAACTAGATGGAATTAAGATACTCAGTTCTGAAACAGCAAACCAAGACAAAGTTATCTGAGTTAAGATTCATTGTTTGAATTGACAACTTTGGGTATTTGAAGATGCCTAGTACTCCTAGTCTGAAGAATTCACAAGGAATTCCAAGTCCAAGGAAACAAATCTCTTGCATTCAGTAAGTTAAGAGCCAAAAAACTGCCATCCTTCTAACAAAATTCTCAAAGATCAACCTCACACATAGAGTGTAATAGAGCATAATACAGACAGGATTTAGGGTTCTTTACAAAACCCAAGCAGCTCAATGATGACTGCTCATAGGAGAGCAACCAGGGCAGGAAACAATATCACTGTATCCTGTGTGAGCCTGGCAGTACACTTACCCAGCAAACGGGAGGCTCAGATTCCACAGCTTCCTGCTGCAACTGGCCACTGTGCAGCTGGGCACGCAGGTAGGTGTGGCCAGAAAGAAGTAAAAGCCAGAAAGATAAAGCAAAACATAGGCTGCCTCTGTTGCTGACTTGTCATCGGGCTTAAAGGAAGAAAGGTCAGAGTTCAGATGAACTTCAGATTAATTGGGTAGCAAAAGCTGAAGGCAGTAGGTCAGTACAAGGACACTTAAAGTAGACAGAAATTAGGAGAAACTCCACCTGTCTTTCTGTCACACCCCCTCGTGCTCCAGTCATCCCAAACTACAATTCCACATCCATACTTTTTCTTCTCTATCCTAAAAATTAGGGCCAACTCCAGTCCACTCACCTCCATTTCTGTAAGGTGATCAGCAGGAACTGCAGGTGGGGAGGTACCTGAACTGATGGGCAAGCACCAACAAAAAGAGATGGTTATGGATTGGACAGTTATTGAATGGCTGTTGGACCATTTCACCCAGTGGCTCCTATAATCACTTCCACACAGAAAATTACTTCAACACACCAGCCACGAGCAGTTTCTTTGATAACCACCAAACTCTATCACACAGAATAAACTTAGTTTACTTGGAAGAAGTCACCAGTCAAATATTTTCAAAAACGTGTTGATCACTAGAGTTACTAAGTGCTGGGTCCATATTTAAGAAGCATTGCTATAAAAGCTGGGAATCACCATATCGTTATGTTGTTACTTGGAAACCAGGCAGAGGTGCCTCTACATAAATGCAAGGCCTTTTACAACGTGCATTTCACTAGATCTCTGAATGAAGCACAGGTACGAGTATCAAAAACCACATCTCCTCACGTATCAAGTAAGATACAAGACACCCAACACAGCCCTTTAGATTAGGCACTTGAATTTGGGAACCCAACTTTTGCCATTAAGGCTCCTAGATTGTAATCACTCAAGTAAAGCATCAAATCTAACCCAGACAGTCACATAAATTCGATACAAAACTTAAGTCAGGAATAAGTACGATGCTTTAAGCATCATTTACAGCCTACCTTATTTCAGGTAAACTTTCTGTTGCAGGCCAGCCCTACAGAGCTGCTGCAATCTGCACATTATCATTTCTCTTCCGGCAATACTGTGTACCAATTGACTTTACGAGTCTCCTACTTTAAACAAATTGAAGCTGTTTAACAAAAACTATTTCTGTCAAGATTTATACTACCTGAAAAAACAGTGAAAAAGGTTTAGCACTTCAATAAAAGGATACAGTAAGTTCATTTCGGTCAATACAGAATATAATGGTGCTATTTTTGAGTAACAACTCTGCAGGTGTGGAATGACTCCCACATAACACTGTAGTTATTCTACAAATAGGCAAGCCCTAGAGATACATATTATTTCTCCTCATTTTTAAGTTTAATTTTAAATGAAATTTTACAGATTGGGATCACTGATGGAATTCTAACAACATTTTAATTTTTTATTTGAATGTTGGGAGGCCCCAGCAGCTACATTACTAGCCAGCAGTTATGTTTTCCCCCTAGCTTTGTAACAAAAAATTCAAGTATCTCCAGTATGTTAGTTTTGACATTGTAATAGCTACAATTATATGCAATAATGGCTATGAGTAGACTTCTTTAAAGACTTATACGACTTCTTTTAAAACTTTAGCTTTAACAGCCTCAGTAGAACAAGAGGTGTTATTTATGATTGTTCTAAGGCAAAGAAACCTGTAATTACTGTGTGAGACTAATGAAAGAAATAAATTGTGCTGTTCTCTATAAATGAATTTTCCATGATACAAATTCTTTTTCACAGACAATTTTCAGTTACCTTGCTGACAGCAACAGCAGTTTACATATGCAACTGAAAGTTCCTATTCTTTAGTTATACTTTTTCCTGAGTCTTCCTATTTTGTTGTAAATCAGTTACTACTATCATTCTAAGGAAAGATAATGTCATAAAACATTCAGTCAAATAAATCACTTTTTTTGCTACTAAACATAGCACAATTTTTGTGTAACACAAACAAGGGGGTCCTGAATGCTGTGGTACTACAACAACAGCAGTACCCCTGAGATTATCTAATTTTATCACCTCAGCATTACCCCAGGAAAGCCAGTGGAAATGCCATACAAGTAAACTGTGATTAGCTTGGTCACACTAATCCCTGATGTAGCATGGCAACTGGAAGAACATAAAATTTGTTTCCTTTGATTGGTGACGAGCGATTACTGAAAGTATTCACACCTACATTACCCTCTGTACTTGCACCTGAGAGACACACTGTTATCAAGTAAGGAGATCACAACTGCACTTCTTTCAATTTAATTAACTGGTATTGAATGAAGATTTGACTACAAGATACAGCTTAAAAGTTACTGCTGTAACACAAAATGTGCAGGACAAAATGCATGTGTATGTACAAGCACATAACTACAGAGAGGTTCACCAGAAATAGGAAACAGGATTACATCAAGATTTCTGCCTTGCTGTCCTCCCTGATCTCTAAACTAAGTTCTCCTTTACTGTCGTCTGTAAGAATGCCTGACAAGATGCAAACCACTTCTCATTTTCATTTGTATTTATTTCTGACCATTCCAGGATGTTCACTATTCTTTACAACCTTATTACATTTAATAAATCAGCATAGAGCTAAAAGGCACTAAAAGGGTTTTCAGAAATTCTATTACTAGGTTTTAGCCAGGACTGTCTTCTTTGGCCTTGTATTTATCTCTGTATTTTTAAATGAACCCCATTAATTTTTTCAGGACTTCCAGTCACTACTGAAATAGTCACCTTTTCCTTACCCAAGTTATTGGTCCAGGTTTACATGGTGAGCTGCCTCTGGTACTGTGCCCTGCATTTGGAGGCATGTGCACTTGCACCAAACCTGTCTTTCACTACAGCACATCTCCTTCCTAAACAAAGCTTTTGAAAATAGCTTCAGAAGATGCATGAATCACAGTGTTACAGTTTAAGTCTCCATGCTCCGCATTAGTCATGTTTCCTCACCTTATCCCTCCATTATTCCAGATAGGAAATGATAGTAAACCAGGGCTGTCTTTGTGCATGCATCAGACAGAACTCCAATCTCCCAGAAGAAGTTAAATAGTTCATTTCTATTTGGTCCAACAGTAAAACCTAACAATTTGTAAAGTGAAAAAAAGCAGTATATGATCTACTTGCATCCACTGGTTTTCTAACAGGAGTCTACCAGTAGCCATCTGAAGCCAACCAATAAAACATGCCTTTCTTTCGCTGTCTTCAGAAGTCTCGAAGCATCACCAGTCAAACCTGGCAGTCTCACATCTGCCTCAGCTACCTCTTTGCAATATAATTTTGTAGTGTTTAAGTAATTAGATTTTTTTAAGCAAACCAGCAACTTTATTTAATCTATTTTCTAGTGCATTTAAAAGTAATAATAATAAAACATACAGAAAGGTTGGAAGAAAATCCCTTTCTGCTTATACTGTTGCTGTAAGGTTCTGTGGCTAACCCCATTTCTCACCCAGTGGAATTTTAGCACTGTAGAGTCCAAACATTTGACTGTTTCACGTTACATTGGGTTTCAGATCTGGTGAATGCCTTAAGCTTCCCACTTCCTTCTTCAGGACATTAAGTAAAGTTCTAGAGCTATCCAAAATCTTCATGTAAGCAGCTTCAGTTTCAGCAAGAATTTTATCAAGCTCATTCCGTGAAGCCACCTTCTGGGCTAGGTTTTCACATACACGCTCCAGCTGTTCACTCAGGACTTGGATTTCATGTTGGAGTTTATTCCTTTCCTCTTCTGCTTGCTGGATTTGTTTGTTCAGTTCTTCTCTTTGCATACTTAAGTCTTCAATGCATTTCACTAGTTCGTTATTGTAACCCTGAAGAACGGCTCCCTGCTGAGTCATCCTGCACTCCCTCCCTGAGCTCTGCCACTGCTCCCTGAAGTCCCTGCTCGGCAACGGCCTTCTGCACTCTAATAGGAAAAATGCAACAAACAGAGAAAAAAAAAAATCTCTCAGAACGTTACCACGAATAATGCTGCAACAGCTCAGAGCCATGGGGCAAAATGCTCTGTTTAAGGTTAACATGCTCGTTCCGAAACGTGCCACATCTCTTCCCTTTTCAGCAAGGAAAGAGGACAAAATTTGGCATCTGCGTTTATACCTTTACCGAAAATTTTTGGCTCCTATAATACATTAATACGCTCCTGAATATATGATGCTTTGTACCACAGACTTCGAGGGTGTGGTCAGAAACGACCAAGAATCACAGAATTGTTAAGGTTAGAAGGGACCTCTGGAGATCACTTAGTCCAATCCCCCTGCCCAGGCAGGGTTACCTGGAGCAGGTGACACAGGAACAGCTCCGCGTGGATTTGGAATGTCCCCAGAGAGGGACACTCCATGCCTTCCGTGGGCAGCCTGTCCCAGTGCTCTGCCACCCTCAGCGTTAAAAAGTTCCTCATATTGACGTGAAACTTATGTTTTAATCTATGGCCATCGCTCCTCGTCCTGTCGCCGGGCATCACCTCGTCCCGGCAGGCGCTCAGCGGGCACCGCCAGCAGCGGGAAACCATCCCGCCACAGCAGAGGGCCTGGGGGCCGCCGAACACACACCGGGATGACCCGGAACGCTGTGCCGAGGCCAAGACGAGCCCTTCACCCGCCGCCCCCCGGGACACCCGCGGCCCCAGGGACATCTTATCGCCCTCCTCGCCGCCCCGCGCGGCCCCGCCGAACACGCGCCGAGCACAAAATGGCTCCTGCCTGCGCACCGAGCCCGCGGGGGGAAGGGGAGGAGGGGGCAGATAAGAGGAGACCTTCCCGTACCTGCCTCCCCCCGCAGTTCCCCACTGTTGCCCCCACCTGCCTGGCGGGATCGCGGTTCCTCCCCACCGAGGTGGCGGCTCTGCCGCCGCGGCCCCGCTCCCTCGCGCCCGCCAACGGCCGCGCCGCCCCGCGAGGCCTCACGGAAACACCCGAGCGCTTCCGAGCGCGGCACCGCCCTGACCGGCCGCGCGGAAGCGGCTCTCCGGAAATACCCGATGTTTTCCGAAGACAGGTAGCGCTCGGGAGAAGGGGCCCGAGGCGGGCGGGGGAGGGAGGGACGAGCGCTACGGAAGAAGCCGATGTTTGCCGGAGGGAGGGACTGAGGGGCGTCGGGCGCGGCGGACGCAGCCGATGTTTGCCGGAGGGAGGGACTGAGGGGCGTCGGACGCGGCGGACGCAGCCGATGTTTGCCGAAGGCAGAGTCGCCCGAGAGCAAAGGGGACAGAGGGGACGGAGCGCGTCGGAAAGAGCCGGAAAGAGCCGACGTTGACCGAGCGCGGCGTCGCCCGAGTTCCCCGGATGTAGTTGGAGCGGCGGCGGCGGGCGCGGCGGGGGGAGGCGGCGGCCGAGTCGGTGCTCCCGGTGCTCCCGGTGCTCCCGGTGTGTCTCAGCGCGCGCGGGGCCGAGCTGCCGGCGTCTCCCCTCTCGAGGCGATGGGCCCGTGAGCGCCGCTCCAGCCGAGCTGCCCGAGCCGCCCCCTCCCCCGTCCCTGCCCCCGGAGCGCTGCCGCCCCCGCCTCCCCCCTCGGCGCCTGTGGCCCGGCCGCGGCCGTGCCCTCCTGGTCCCCTCACCCTCACACACACAGGCCGGGCATTGATGGTAATGTATGCGAGGAAACAGCAGAGACTCAGTGATGGGTAAATCCCCCGGCCCCGCGAGGCCGCCCCCTCCGCCATGTTCGGCCCGGCCGCGGGGCCGGTAACGGGCGCTCGCTAACGCCTCTCTCTTTCTCTCGCTCTCTCCTCAGCTGTCACGACCGCAGGGGGGACTCGCAGCCCTACCAGGTACCGCTGGGCCGGAAGGAGGAGCAGGGGGGCGGGGGGGAGCTACTCCGGCGGAGGCTCCGGCGGCCACCTTAGGCCGCGGCCGGCCCTGCCCGGTCCCCGGCGGCGCTCCCGGGGCCGCGGGTCGGGGAGGCGGCCGCGGAGCGGGGAACGGGGCTCCGGTGCTCGGCACAGGCCTGCGGGGCCGGGGCGAGCAACAGCGGCCTAGTGCGAGCCGTGTGGGGCCCGGTCCTGGGAGCTGGGGAGGTGCGAGGGGCGGGGGAGCGGGCCGGGGTCACCTGCGGCGGAGCGGAGAACCAGGGGGAGGTGAGTGTTTTCCTTCTAAAAACAAAAGGTGTCTTGTTCTTGCCCCCCACCCCATTCTGAGCCCCCCTGCCCAAAGTCCTTTCTTCTCCCTAAAACTGCTGCTGTGGGCTGTAACCTGAGCAGGGCATGGGTTTAGACCCTGAACAACTTGGGGTTGCCAGTAAGGCTTAATTTCTGCAGTTGCCAGCTGCTAGCCATGTTCAGAAGCCATAAAATCCTCGGGTTTCTGACAATAATCTCAATTTCTGTATGATAGATAACTTTTTTCTTTGCTGTGTCCACTAAAAGACCAGTTGTAGGTGTGTGAATCTGTGGAGAGCTGTATGTTGAGGTACTACTCTCCTTAGGTTCAGAATTGGCCTGTTTCATTGTATTCCCTTGTACTTGTATGGCTGTGAAGTGCAGTTCAGCAGTCCAAGGCAGCTGTCAGTGACAGCTCATGTAGGTGTAAACACTTGGCCATTCAGGAGCTCTCACTGCAAAACCAAGCAGGTCAAAGTGAGACAGAACATGTAATTTTTGGTAAATACTTAAAAATTAGTCATTACATCGCATGTTTTGGCCCTCCAGAATTATTTTTTTTTTAAATTACATATGTTGAGAGGGGGTTGAAAGTATTCAAAAAAAGCCATAGAATTTCAAGGTAACGGTTAAACCAAGTGGTCTTGTCAAGAGTATGGAGGACATATTCAAAGTTTACACTGATTCAGTGTAGCTTTCTGTTTGTATGTTTAGTGTAAAGTAGAGACTTGTCCTTTTCTCAAAAGTGCAGAAGAACTGTGGCCTATTTACTGCTGAAAGTGTGTTGTCTATCAGTGAAAAGACAGAGAAACTAGGTTTTTCTTAACAGCAAGTGTTATGTTGGATATGATAGTGGGAGAAAATGGCTTGAGTTCTAATTACAGAACTTGTTGCTTTATTGTAGGTAATTAAAATTAGGAAGATGCTAATTTTTATTTTTTTAATGGGAGATGAAAATTAATTAACTTTTAAACGTTTTTGAAAGAGATGTAAAATTTAGAAATAACATTTTAACATCAGTCCAGAAACTTCATATCTAATGTAAATGTCTCTTTTCTTGTGATTTGTTACAGCCTCTTAAGTACTCATCCAAGAGTCACCCCAGTGGTGGTGATCACCGTCATGACAAGATGCGAGACACCACAGATCCTTCACCACCAAATAAGATGCTGCGACGCTCTGACAGCCCTGAAAACAAATATGGTGACAACACAGGGCACAGTAAAGCAAAAAGTGTGCATACTCACAGAGTTAGAGAGAGGGATGGTGGTGAGTTACCTTTAACAAACCTTTATTTAACCAATTACTAATTTCTCATTCTTATTAAAATTTAGCCATTATCACTAAATTGATGAGTCTTACTCTAAATGTGCCTTGTACTGTGCTTGGAAGACTGCAGTGAAGTCAAAGTGCTTCATTTAGGCATTGCAAAATCCATTAATTTTCTGATTTTTACAGGTAGGATAGTGTTCTTTACAACCCCAAAGGTTAAATAAACTTTTCTTTAAAACTGGTATGTCTCATTTACTTTAGACATACTACAACATTTGATAACATGAAATAATTTTCTGGATTTTTTATTAGCAATAAATATAGACTGTTTTGGATATATTTTAATGATTTTGTGTATTGGGATGTGAACTGTGTAGGTACATGTTTCATAGACTAAACACCATCAGAAATGAAAAAAAGCATCTTTATGTTTAGCTGCTTTATAGAACTCTTAATAATCAGAAGATGGTAATCAAAGCTAGCACATACTAGAGCCTTTCTCAACAGAAGCTTGAAGGAGTCTGTTCACAGTCAAGTCTTCCTTCTGTGTTTTTGCATAAGACAGTAGTTATAGCCCCAGTATTTTTTAACTGATACTCTTTTGTATCCTTACTTCCTAGAGAAAGGAAAGAGTAGGGTTTTCCATGTAATAAATAGTATTAAGATAACAAACAGTTGTAGTTTAGAAAATTACAGTTACTGTTTGAATTTGGAAAAGTGTTCTCTGTTCTGGCATTTGCTCTCTGAATTAAGTTATGGAGTATTCAAGTAGAGAACTTGCAGCTTTAAATCAGTGCTTTTTTTCTGTATAAAGCTAACAAATTGTATATACAGATATACAGTTGATATACAGGTACATTTATTGCTGCACTAGTTTCACCTGACATAATAGTTATAATAAAATAAATACTTAAAAATATTTTTTAGAAAATATGAGTTCCACACCACAAATGTGTTTATGGTACCCAATTGTTCTTACAATTCCTATTTGTTTTTCATTCTTTGGCTTAGTGCAGAGGCTCTGTAGACCACTGATAATGTCATAGAAGTGTGTAGATGGATTATAAAAATATGTATCTTCTGTTAGTACACTGATTTTCATTATATCTGATCATAAGTGAAAGTGTAATCTCAGTATTAAATGCATGTGCAATGCCCATAGGCTGCTATTCTCTGCTACTTTTGGGATACAGAGATGTCCTCTTTTATTTCCTGTTCACCTGTTCAGAGATATTCGTCCTATATGCTTTTGCAATTCTTCTTAGTTTTGCTACAGTCAGTAATTTTTTCTGCTTCAGCTGAGCTACATTTAGTGGAGTTATGCATATATGAAAACATCTGGAGGATGAGGCTCTATGTGGGGAGTGTATTTGCTTCTTTGTGTGATGGGATTGTTTTTAAGATAGGAAAGACATTTTGAAGTTCTTACTGAGTCCAGCTGGATTTAATAGTTGGGGAATGATCTGGAGCGTGGATGTGCACAGTAAGGATGAAGGAAAACAAATTATTTGTAATTTTGTAAATGGAAGGAAAACTATTCCACTGTACCTTCTCCTGGCTGCTAACACAGGGGAAAGTTTCATTTATTCTGATCTGAAAGCAGTCGTTTGCACATCATGTGTTAACAGAGTGGAAGAAGGAAGTAGTCTTCAACAGTCTGAGGGAAATTACTGATTTTAAAAGTTAAATGTTTGTACTGTTTAATGGAAATAAGTAGTATTTTTTGTGTGTTGTTAGTAAGGTTAGTGTGGATGCTGGAAAATATATTCCAACCAACCAAAGTTGCCCTAAATCCTGTGTATTGTACATAGCAAACCAAAGCTGAGCAGATGTGGGCAGCAGGATATTATTTTGTCTTTGATTTACTGAATATTTCTGTCAGTGTGAATTGAAGGTAGGTGTTACAATGTAAGTGAAGTGCTGTGGTATAATCTGCAAAAGACAAAATAATTTACTGTGTTCTCTGTCTGTTGAATTACACTGAAGTGCTGTTACTGCTATAGTAGTCACTTAGTTTTACAATTACAGACATATAGCGGAGGGGAAAAAGATAAATACTAAAGTGCTAACATTTTTCATCTAAGCTCTAGTATGACTGAAGAGTATTGATTTGCTTTGATGCTACTGTAGTCTTCGGACTTGTTTGCTTTTTACATTCTGAGGGAAAGAAAAAAGTTGTGTGGTTTTTTATTTTTTGTAATTGCCATGCATTATTTTAAAATCCGTGATGCTTGATTTGAAACTACTACAAAGATGTTACTGCCTTATGATCAAGCTGAACTTAAAAAAACAAACCACTGAAACATCTCTAGTATTTATTTCCCAAAACTGCATTATAGCCCCAAGCAAACAATCTCTTTTTCTCTCACACCTCAGAAAACAAATTCCACAGTATTAATACTGAACATAAAGCCAATTTAACCTGATCTCTCCCTCTCAAGTCAACGTTAAGAGAGCATTTCTCTGTATCTCTTTGTGATTTTTGCTCTGAAGTGAAACAAGAAGGTTCAGAGGTGTAACATGCAGATTTAGTCATGAGTGGTTCACTTTACTGTGGTAAAGACAACCGGCTAAGTGTCATTTCAAGATTGAAGTGTACACATTTGAAATATAACAACTATAATTAAATTGATTGAAAATTAACAGGAGGTGATTCTACCATTTTTGAGTTATTAGTATCTTTGGTACCTGTATAAAGGTATTTGTTGTCACAGCTTGTTTTTGAAATACACGTCAGAAACTTTTGTGTTTGTAGAACTGTAACCCATGGTAAGAAATTCAGTTAAGGTTTTAAAACATGTTATGGGTAAGCCCTCCATACTGCTACAGTGCAAACAAAGCATGTTTCAAAGTTGCTTACTGCACAGTTTCTGTGGAAAGAGACTGCACGCAGAGACAGTCATTCTCTGGAGAGAGACTTCCAGGTTTATCTTGGCCTAAACACAGTGAAGTACTTGTAAGTTTTTATCACATCCCTTGTTTCCTAAGAGTACTTGTACATCCAGCATATCGAAAAACTGCCTTAACTTAGTTCTTGCTTTCAGGTCCTTGTGCTTGGGGACATTGTCTCTGTGTTCAAGTGTTTAAAACATAATGAACAGCTCCCCCCCTCAGCGCATCTTGTATTTATAGGTCAGCTGCTATAGGCAAGTGTGGGGTTTGAAGAGATTAGGGGATCTTGTGAGACCAACTCAAGTGTGAAGTTTCTAAACAGTAACAAATAGGGACTTAAAGCCAGCATTGTTTGTGGGGAATAGGACTATGGAGGGCCTTGTAGATGTGGAAGAAATGTTTCCATTAAAGAAAAAGGGAAATACAAAGATTTGAGGGTTCTCATGCTTGAGGATGGATGGATGAACATTGTAGGTCGACTTATATGCATAAATGGGGAGATACTGGCGTACAGGAAAGAAAACAAAGAGTCCAGATAGTAGAGTACCTTTGAAAATACTGTAAAATATATATATAATTTAGGAATAAAAATGCAAGATGCAACTCTAGTGAAAAAAAAGGGAAAAGGGTGTTTCTTTCCAATTAAATGTATGGAGCAGAATGACCCACTAAGACACACAGTAGAACTTGAAGCAAAAAAGTTTAGTACAGTTAAGTTACCTGTATTCAGTTGTGTCTTATTGTGAAGAAAATACTGTGTGTTTCACTATATTTATGTTTAAGAGACTTTAAAACTTTGTTTCATGCCATGATCTTACTGAATTGTTTAAAATAACAAGCAGAGAGTGTTAGTGTACATAGCATGAAATGTTTGCTGGATTGTATGCTGTTGTGCTGTGTAGGCTACTTTCATGAAATTTGCTTATAACTTGTGATGCTTAAATTCCAAAGTATAACTGAAGCTTTTGCATTTTTGGTTGGTTTTTTTTTTTTTTTAATTGTCAGTTAAGAATACTGTCAGTGACCACTGTTAATGACTGTAATACACTTCTAAGATTAAACATCCTACTGCTATTAGAGACTGAATGGAATACTTTAAATAACGAGTTCCTATTTTTATTGAAGAAGTGAGGGAAGCTTCTTTCATGAAGTGTTGGCTTGCTTTGTTTCTGGTGATTCCTGAAGGAGTTCAGAGTCCTCATAGCAAAGGGACAGCAAACAGCCCTAAACAGAGAGCTGAGTTAGGTTTCTGTGTTAGAAACTGTCAGTAGAGGAGGACAGGAGGTTAACTCCTGGTTAAATGAGTGTGATCATTGACCAGCAGTCAGAAATAAATGGGGTGTTAGGGCAGGAACAAGAGCATGGAAGCTGCCTGCATTGTAAAGGGGAAGTTACAGGGTGGGTGGAAACAGGCAAGTCAAAGTAATGAAATGTAGCAAAGAGTTGAGGAAGAAGGTGGAATAGATTCTATCTGTGTAGTTAGTGTTAACTGCTGTTTAGGTAATTATTAATTACTCCAAAAACTGTTCCCTCACTGTAACTGTACAGGTAAAGCTGGCATGAGAGAAGTCTGATGACAAAGGAGAGTAAGCTCTCTCATCTGCTTTGAACACCCCCCAACACCCAAGTGCAGAAGAAGTGATTGACTTCCCTGTTCCTTGAGTGTTGGCTGTTAGGATGGCTCTAAAGGAGGTGGGGTTTGGTCGTAGGTTTGTTTTTTAAGAGAAATGGAATTGCTTCCAGGACCATTCACATTTTAGAAGCTTTTCTCTGGATTAAAAAAAAAATTGCTAAAAGTAGGTTTTTGTTTTTTGATGTTGATAAAAGCTTTCTTTCAAGTCTGACTAGTACATTCAGACCATGGGTTTAATTTTAAATTTGCTTTCAGAGTTTAGAAGTTTTAAATAGAAAGTAACTTTCCATTTACTCAGCATATTTGGTGATATTTCTGAAGTGAGTTTTTGCTGGATCAGTTGTATAACTATTTTTTTTGGTGTTAGTCTGTTGTGAGGATCTTTAATAGAATATAAATTGAAAAGTGTGTGACTTGTGTATGTACTTTTAAAATATAGAAGTTTAGAATGTTAATATTCAAAATTGCTTTT